GGAGGAGAAGGGGACGGGGGAGGGGACATTGGGGCATGGGCAAAGGACATGGACGGGGGAGGGGACACAGAGGGAGTGAAGAGAGAAGAGTGCACAGAGGTGCACAGAGAGGATGGACAGGGAGGGGAGGGGACAATGGAGAGTGGACAGAGTGGGGAGAGTCAGGTATGCGGGAACAGGGAGAGGCAGGAAAGGAAGAGACAAGATTACAGGGTGACAGAAGGAATCGGCAGAGAGGAAGGGGAGTTTGGGGACGGAGGGGAGCAGGCAGATAGAAGAGTGGGGCTCTGTAGCCCCTCCTCCACTCGCACACTGTGGCCGAGGCCACTGCCAGCCCTGGGCAAGCTGCCTCACACCGCCCTCCCCTGCCCAGCCCTGCCTCATCCAGGAGACCGCCCAGGAGCCCACCTGCCCCGGGACAAGCAGCAGCTCCGGGAGCCCCCACCCCACCCCTGGGGCAGACGCCTGGGGGCCACAGCTGGGGTCCTCCTACCTCGGACCTCCATGCGGATGCTGCTCTCGATGCCGTTGGCCACGAACTTGAGCTCCGCGCCGTGCAGGCTGGCGGACACGGAGCGGATGGTGAGGGTGTGCCGCGTGCCCTCGTGACGGATCACGTACACGCCGCTGGCCTTCAGGGCCCGCCCATCCAGGAACCACTCGCCCGCCGAGGCCAGAGTGAGGTCCACGGAGAAGGTCACCTCGCCACCCTCCACGGCCTCCACTGCCTTCAGAGGCGTCCTCAGGGCCAGCTGGGGGGCTGCAGGGTGAGGGCTTCAGAAGGGGCCAGGCTCCACCCTCCTCCCTCCTCCTCCTGAGCCTGGGCCCAAGTGCCCCTTCCCCAGGAAGCCCACGGTGCAGGCACACTTACCCAGGTGGACAGTCCCTGGGAACTCCAGGCAGGGACTGTGGCCAAAGCTGTTCACAGCTGACACCCGGAACTGGAAGTCCCCCTCCTCGGACACGCCGGCCACGGTCAGCTCACGCACATCCACCCACTTGGCCTCATGGCACGGGCTCCAGGTGTAGGCGCCAAGCCGCTTCTTTTCCACCAGATAACCATCGATGGGGACAGGGCGGTCCCCGTGGGGTGGGGGGGACCAGCCGAGGGTCACGGAGCACTCTGTCCTGGCCTTTACCTCAGGGGCCTCAGGGGCTTGCAGGGGCGGCTTCCTAGGGGCTGGGTAGAGCACAGCCCCAGGACGTCACTGACTGGGAGCTCCCTCCCCAAGCCCTGGGTCCAAGGTCAACCCCCCTCCTGGGGGCGTGCTTTCCCCATCCGCACTGTCCATGGCCCGAGGGATGCTGCAGGCCTGTAACCCCTGGCCCCAGCCTTGTGGCCACTTCTCTGGTTGCAGTGGAAAGAGTGCTCTGGCTTTGGGGACACGCAGTCCAGGGCCACCACAAGCTGTCCAGGGGGTTTGGCGACAAACCCCTTCTGTGTATCCAGGTCTTGGTCCAGGCAGTGACCAAAGCAGGGTGCAGGGACCCTTCTGAGGGTACTGACCCCAACAAAGGGCTGACCCAGTGGGGGCGGTGGGAGGAACCTACTCCCAATCTACAAATGTGATACCAAAGGCCACAGAAAGAGGCCACGCTCACGCACGATGTCCCACACCTGTCTCACCCACATGTGTGCCCCTGGAACAATCTGTACCTTCTACTTTGGTTTGCAGAGTGGGGGTCACCAGAACTCCTACTCTGCAGTCACCTGGGGTGACCACAGTGAAGGAGGGCAGGAAACAAACCAGTGGTCCGAGGAAACTAGAGCTATGACCCGTTGGTCCAGCCCCCGAAGCCCTCCCTGCAGCAGACGGGACTGCACAGCGGGGCCCAGTGGACAGAGGAAGGGGAGAGGGCCCTGTCTGTCCAAGGGGCCCCCCCGGGGGCCCTTACCAGACACAAAGAACTGCGTGGATGTCTGGCAGTCCCCAGCCGTGAAGGTCACCTCGCCCATGTCCTCCAGGCTGCACTTGGAGATGGTCAGCGCGTGGCACGTGCCTTCCGTGGTGATGGCCACGCGGCCCCCAGCCACCACCTCCTCCTGGTTCCTCAGCCAGTGGACGGAGTCCTCCGGCCTGGCCAGCTCCACACAGAACATGGCCGTGTCCCCCACTCGCACCACGGTCTTCCTCGGGAGCTTCCGGATGAGGTTGCCTGCGGTGGACAGGGCCGGGGGACTGGTCAGACGGGGGGCGGGAGGGGGGCCTGCCCACCCGTCCTCCTCCGAGCCCACCTTCCGCCCCTGCCCCGCCCCCCGCCCCTGCTCGCCCCTCCTCCGAGCCCACCTTCCGCCCCCTTGCACGGCCCCCACACGGCCCCTGCCCCGCCGCTCCTCCGCGCTCCTCTCCAGCCAGTCCTGCCCCTTCCCTCCCCTTCCCCACCCCAGCCCCGCGCGACCCCCGCCCACCTTGCACCGCGAGCTCCGCCACCGTGCGGCTGCCCTCCGCAGTCTCGCAGATGTAGACAGCGTCGTCGTCGGCCGAGACGTTGCGCACGGTCAGCCGGCGCTCGGTGCCCGCCTCCTCGATGCCGTACTTGGCGCTGGCCCACAGCCGCGTCTCCTCCTTGTACCACGCGGCCTCGGTGGTCGGCAGCTCCACCTCGCACTGGAACGTGGCCGACTCCCTCTCCTGCACCTCCAGGTCCTGCAGCCGCTTCCTGAAGGGCATCGCGGGCTCTGCGGGGAGAGGGCGCGTGAGCCGGGCTGGGGCGGCGGGCCTGAGGCCGGTGGGCCGGGGAGAGGAGCCGGGAGGAGGTGGAGGGGGGTGGGGCGGCGGAGAGTGGGGTCAGGGCAGGAAGTAGGGCAGGTCAAGGGGCTCCGTTAGTTGGAGTACGGGGCTGGAGTGGGGGCAGGGGACCAGGGCAGGGGGTGGGTGGGAAGCAGAGGTGCAGCAGGAATGAGTCCAGGGAGGTAGGGGGATGGAAGGGGGGCAGGGGAAAGGGCACAGAACGTAAAGAGCCCCCTCCCCTTAAATAGAAGATGTCTGGAAACGAGGCACGTAAAGCCCCAAAACAGCCCAGTGAGGCTGCTCCCGGGCCGCAAAATCCGCAGGGCTCACGCTCACAGCCACGCCAGCAGCGAGGCAGCGGGACCAGGGCTGGCCGCAGCGCAACCCCCTGAGCGCCGGCCGTCGGCCAAGCCCTGCTGCCCTGCGCACTTTTCCCTGTGCAGCTTCTGCAGGGCGCCCCGAGGAACCGGGCCATTTACCCGCTGGCGCGATGGTACTGTGGCGCGCACGAAAGGTTGGAGCGCCCTGAGACCCTCCAGCGGGACAGAAGTGGAGGTGGGTCTCTGGTCTTAGGAGTCTCGCCAACACAACCTCTTATGTTGCCCACGCTTTCCCCCAGAACCCTGGGGGAGGCCCAGACCCCTACAGGGGTCCTCAACAGGAGCCTCTAAACTGCCCAGAACCGCCTTCCGGCTCAACCTGGAGCGGCCCCAGCCCCGGCCCTACCTTTCTCCCCCACTCTGCCAGGGAGACCCCCCTTAGCATCCTGTGAGAGAGGTGGAGTGCCAGGGTCACCAGGGCCATCTCCCAGGAGGAGGGGGCGCTGAGGACAGAGCGCTTTGTTATTCACTCATGCGACTCTCACAAACAATGGGACAGGCTGGGGGTCATCCGCTGTCACCCTCGTTCTGTGGCTCTGGAAACGCGAGAGCCCGCCAAGACCTCTACCTCCGGATTCCGCGACGGATTCCATTCCAGGTGGAAAGGACTGGGGGGAGGGGCCGGGGAGGCGCTTCTCGGCAGCGACCACGCGCAGAGATCGTGCGCCCAGCACCCCGAGCTCACCTCGCACGACGACCTGCACGGAGCTGTAGGTTTGGCCCACCAGGTTGGATGCCGTGCAGGTGTAGAGGCCCCGGTCTGACTGCTTGCAGAAGAGGATCTTGAGCACGAAGTTCTCCTGAGCGTCCTCGTACACCACGTGTCGCCGGCCCTCGACCACCAGCTGCCCGTCCTTCTTCCATACCGTCTCGGGCTTAGGCTCACCTGTCACGTAGCAGCTGAGGCGCGCGTGCTTGCCTTCAGTCACGGTGCAGGTGCGCGTGCCAGAACCGGGTGGCGAGGCCGGGGCGCCCTCAGCGCGCATCGCCTCGCGCCGCCGCTTTAGGTGCTCCAGGAGCGCGGCTGTGGAGGCCCCGGGAGCGCCGGCAACGTCTGCATCCGCGTCCACGGTGAGCGCGGCGTCGGCGCTGGCGGCGCCCAGCGGGTTCTCGGCGCG